GTTTATAGGAATGACGCTGATGACTAAAATTTCTGATCCAAGCAAAGATGGGGGCTGAAGTGACATGTCCAAGCCTCAAGGCAAATATCAGCTCACCATAGGGAACACCTCTTGGGCCAGGCACTGTGCTCACTTGCTGTCCAGGCATGGCTTCATGTAATCCCCAAACTGCCACATGTAGGAGCTGTTGTTCTGCTTACTTTATAGGGGAGGGGCTGAGGTTCAGAGAGGGTAAGGGACTTTCTGGAAGTCACAAAGCAAGACAGCAGTGTCTGTCTGACTCCAGAGTTATTGCTCTTAACCCTTAAGCCAGAGTTCAGAGCAGCCGCCATTTATGGGTATTTATCTAAAACAACCCTCTGACCCACCACTCCAAAGCAGAACCAGGGCCATCCCCTGGGCCCCCTTTTTTATTCCACCTTGCTCTGACCACATCATAAGGGTTTTGAGGGCTGTTTGGCCTCAGTGTGTCCATCTGCAAAAGGGAGTTGACTACCCCAGTCCCCATCCTGTCCAAAGAGGTATGAAGAACAAAAAGGGTCAGTGGCCTGGATAATTTCATGCTCTTGACTCTGAAGCCTGGCCCAAGGACCTGAAGCATCCAGAGCAGAGCTAGACCCTCCCCAGGAAGCCATAAGCTTGCAGACACAGCTGCTTCGGGGCGCAGGCCTCTGCAGGAGCCCATCTCCCTCCAGTCTCCACCATCACTATTGCTAATAACGACATCAATCAGGTTGACCACGTTTCACACCATTACTCGCAGCTCAGCAGGAAGCTACATATTTTCCCCCTCACCCACCTTCCACAAAGCAAATAGCTCTCCAGAAGAGAAGAGAATGAAACTGATGTTTTTCTGAGTACCTACTATATGCAGGGCACCTGTCTAAGCCCTTCTTACAACTCTGTGAGGTAGGGATGACTCTCTTTGACAGAGGGAAAACTGGGTCCCAGAATGCATGTGTCCAAGGTCACACAGAGCTGGGACAAGAATAACCATGGCAGTGATGTATTACTGAGCACCCGCTGGCTCACAGTGCCATGATCCTATTGAGAGATTGCCATCTTTACATTCAGATAAGGAAACTGAGGCTTGAAGCAGTGAACAGACCTGAGGTCACACACTGCTTAAATGTGAGCAGCAGAGTGGCACAGGGTGGAGAGGGTGGCTCCCTGTTCAGGCAGCAGAGTGCACACATTCTACTTCTGTCACTGACTAGCTTAGAGACCTCAGGCAAACTTTATCAACTCTCTGAACCTCAATTTCCTCATCTGAAAAAGGGGTTAGTGGAAACATCTATCCCATTTTGTGAAGACAGTATGAAGGGTAAAAACAGTAAAATAGCTAACATTTATGAGTCGTTTAACATGTACCAGGCACTTTGCCAAGCACTTTACATGTGTAAGCTCATTTGGTTAAATGAGGTAATGCATATAAAGTGCTTAGCACAGGAGTACAGAAATGGCAGTGATAACGACGACGATGAAGAAATTGATGATGATTCCCTTGGGCAAACCTCCTGGACTCATCCTCTTACAGGAAGTACGGAGTGGCTTGTCTGGTTTCAGGAAGGAGGTGGACCAGGAAAGAAGGGCAGGGTTCAGACAGGGGAGGGAAATGGAAACACAGAAAAACTAGGGAGTGCATAGCATTCATAATATCAGTATGATACACCAAGTAGAACCCAGGAAAGCAAGGGACCCCAAATGTTCACACAATGGAACCTAAGTGAGACACACCAAAAAAAACAAAAACCCCAGGTCAGCTCAGACATCATCCCTGGGCTCCAGATGGGCAGAACTGGCAGGATCCTAGAGATACAGACCAGTAGTTCTCCCCATTTTACAGATGGATAAACCAAGGCTTGCAGTGGGGAAGAGGCTTGCCCAAGTTCACCAGATGTCAAGAGCTGTGCTGAATCCAGCTCTCCTGCCTCTCAGCTCAGTGCCTAATTACCTCCTGCTTTCCACAAAGAGTGGGTGGTGGGGGGTACCTGTATATGTGTGGGCCATAATTCCTGGGAATGTAGCCCATGACATACATCATTAAGATAGTAACAATAACAAAGCTATAGGGTTGAATGTTCACTCTGTGACTGGCACAGTGCCAAGTTCATTATATGCATTTAATCCTCATAACAAACCAAAGAATTGGGAACTCTTTCTATTAACACTATTTAACAGTGGACAAAACTATGGTTCAGAGAGGGTAAGCATCTTGTCTATGATCACACAGCTAGGAAGTGACAGACCCAGGACTTGACTGCAGGTTTGTCCTGTCAAACTCCAGAGCCTTGTCCTTATACCTGCCCATCTGCATAGTACAGCCCCCACCAGCTTCTCCCACCCTCCAGGACCCTCATTCCCTATTCCCTCACCCAAAGCAAGTCTATCCCAAGAAGAGTATTTCAAATTGTCTTGTTTTATTGTAATGATCAAACCCCATTCAAAGAAGAAAAATGACACAGTTCCTCTTCTGAAGTTTTCAGCTGAGAAACATTTAACAGCCTCTTTCTTCTCTGCCCCTTTCCATTGGATGAAAAAACAGGCTCCCTTCTCCCTGAGACGATGTCAGGCTGGTGAATTCCAGCATCTGGGAGCACGCTGTGGAAGCTGCCAGGCAGCAGAGGCTCCTGGGGGTTCGCAAGAGCAGAAGGGAGCCACTCTGCAATCAGCCCAGATGGCAAGAGAGCCAAGAGATCAGTTTTCAAGTCCCTCCTTGGAACACCTCCCCAAAATTATCTCATGTAACCCTCAGAAGTTGCCCAAGCCACCCAGCCAAGATACAGGAGAGTCAGAATCCCAGTTAGGTCTTGCCTAACTCCAGAGCCCCTGTGCTGGTGAACCTCTAACTTGGAGGGTGGGTTTACCTTAGAGAGCTATGGAGGCAGGTGAGTGGGAGGCAGGGAGACTACCTCTCCTCACCTTCGTCTCTCTAGAGGTGTAAGCACCAGGGACCCCTGATTTATCAGGGCCTGAACTACTTATTTTATAATTAAGAAGGCAACAGGGGATGCTGGTGAGCTGCCTGGCCTCAAAGCCTGGCTCCTGACTATAGAACTTTGGACAAGTTACTTTGCAGGGTCCTTAGGAGATTCTATGAGTTAATACATGGAAAAGTGCTTACAAGGGTACCTAGCACCTGGTAAGTAAACACTAACCACTGTTATCACCAACAGAGAATGAGCACAGGACAAGCTGTTAAGAGAGCTCACCTTTAGGGTGTGGCAATAGGCATAGAAACTTACCTTTATCTTTTCCTCTTTCTGATTATGATTGATTAATTTTTATAACATGTGTATATCACTTTTCTAATTAAAGTCCTACTGTACAATTTAAAAAATAACAGAAAAAAAAATCCTCTGAAGCCTCAGCACTTCTTGGCATTTTATGTTCCTCAAAGTAGATAAAGAAAGGTGTTTCTATGTGAGCCAGGAGTTGCCAAATAACTGATTCATTCATTTATTTTACAAATATTAATGGAGTGCCAGGCACTGTTCCAACTGCTGGGGATTCAGCAGGGAACAAAACAGATAATCTCTATCCTTCTGGAGTTTCCATTCTACCTGATTTTAATTAATCCCCACTGCAACCCTCAAGGACGAGCAATTTACAGATAGGCAGGCCAAGGTGGCACAGTGAGGCAAAGCCACTTGTCCTGTGTCTCACAGCCGGGAGCAGGGCTGAGACCTTCAGGCTGGGCTGTTTCTACCACTTCCCAAGAGGGCAGGCGCGGAGAGAGCAAGTTTGGAGCTGATGTCCCCAAGAGGAGAGAAACAAGATGAATGATGGGGTTGCCCATGCAGACCCAGAGCTTCACTCTGCATTACTGTATGCACCTGGGGGTGGGGGAGCACAAGTGGGGACCGGGCCATGGAGTCAGGCTGAAGCGAGGCTCAAGCTCCCCCAACTCCCACTCAGACCTGAGTTCTGCCCGAGGAGGCCCCCATGGGTCTTTGTCCGGAGGAGCAACACAGCTTCAAAAACCTTTGGGTGTTGGGCTTCAGCTTTAGAGTAAGTAGGAGACCTTGGTCTCTCCTTAAGCACCTTCCAAATTTGCCTGCCAGGGCCTGAAGGGCAGAGCTGGTCCTCCTCAGCCCCTACATTTCCTCCTAGCCTCCCTGGGACAAGAAGCTGGGTTCCCTAAGCTGGGGTTAGGCATAGTGTCCCAGATGCTCCCATCCCCCCAGGGCACCCAGTGTCCCCACCCTCACTGGTGCTGGCACAGGCAGAGGAACTGGTCTGCCTGTCCCCACCCCTGCTCGGGTGGAACTGATAACGGGATGCAGCGCCTGTGGCCGCAGTAACCACAGCCTAGGCAGGGAGGGGGGAATCCAGTGCCTAGCTGGTCAGAATGGCCCAGAACCTGGCAGCTCCTTGTGACCCTCTCCAGGGAGGTGGACCTCCAGTCCCAGGCCTGCCCAGTCAGGAGGGTAAAGGGAGGCAGCACCAGCACAAAGGAGGAGTGAACGATTCTTGGACTCTAAGATCCCAGCACACGCAGATAAGCATGGACCAGAAATGGTCAGAGATCTGGAGATACCCAAGGAAAAACCCGGGGAGACACAGAGGAGCAGAGACTTCGTGAGAAGCCCTCACACCGGCAGAGACCCTGAGGACGGGAGACCCATGCGCGCGAACCATCGGGAGGCAAGCACACGGCGGGACCTCAGCGGACCCACTGAGGGGCCTCGGACACACCCCCAGCCCCTGAGAGCCACAGTCCCACAGCAGGCCACTCACACGGAGCGGGCCAGACGCGTGGAACCCAAGCGCGGGGCGGGCCGGGGACTCGCGCACAGGACGCGCTCGGGGACCGGGAGCGCCAGCGAGAAGCGCACACAAAGAGACAGCCCGGCCAGCGGGCGCGGGCTCCGCCCGTCCGCTCCGTGACTCCAGACTACCCCCCGGCCGGGCACTAGCACCAGGCACAGAACCCCACCCGCACGCCCCGGGACCCCGCCCCGCCGCGCCCCACCCTGCCCCGGCCGCCCGGCGCTCACCAGCTGCAGGCAGCAGAAGGCGACAAGCGTGCAGCGTCCGCTGCACTTGCCCATGGCTCCGGGGGCCGCGCGGGCCGCCCACCGCGGCGCCCCTCTGGCTCGGCGGCCGCCGCCGCCTCCGCGCCGGGCGGGCTCTGCGTCCTCCTCGCTGGGCGCCCGGGGCGGCGGGCCGGGCACCTAGGGCCGGGCCCGGGAGCGCGGGTTCCTCAGCGCAGGGGCCGGCCGCTCGCGCTCAGAGTCCATGGTCTGTCCGCCCGCGCGCTGGCTCTGCCGCGCCTCCTTTGTCTGGCCGGCCAGGCGCGCCTCCTGCCCCGGGGCAGCTGGCGGGGAGCGCGGAGCGGGGAGCGCAGGCACCGAGCGCGGCGCAGCGCAGAGCAGCACTGCCCAGCTGGGGCAGCCGCCTGGGCGCTCAGAGGCGGCCGCGGCTTCCCGGCCCACCACGTGGCTCCGCCGCGGCCACAGGGAGGGAGGGAGGGAGGAAAGGGAGGATGGGTGGGGCGGGGCGGCCGCGGGAGCAGCGGGGAGGGGGCCGGGGTAGGGAGGTGCGAGTCGGGGGCGAGGAAGGGGCAGAAGAGGGAAGGGCTCAGGCTCGGAGGCTGACAGCCCTGGGTCAAACCTCTGCGTCTCTGCTCACTCACTGTGTGACCTTGGGCAAATCACGTCACCTCTCTGGGCCTCAGTTCTCTTAACAAAGTAGGAGTACGAAAGCCTTTAGCCCTGTGTCTGGCCCCCTGAGGTTCCCAGAGCGCGCCCCTGCTCGCCGTCTCTAGGGCCCAGGGGGTGCCAACATTGGCCCTCTGTTTCCACTCCAATTCCCAGATCTGCGCCTCATCCCGGCTCCCTTCTGACTTGCTTGGCCACATTTCTTGCCTCTTTCCTTTCACCGGTTTTCATTGAGTCCTGACTGCATACGCATCCTTGGGGGCCCTGGGATGAGCCCTGCAGCATTGCTCCATAACACATAGAGCTTCCCAGTCCAGGGATCAGGCAGGGGTGAGTTGCACGACAGCAGAGGGCTGCCCAGGGGCTGTGGCCAGCCCCTAACCCAGTGTGTTGAGAGGCAGAAGGCAGAAGACTGTCTTCTTCAAGATTCTCCTGAAAAGCACTCAAACTTCAAACCACATCCCAAACCCATTTAATCATCCCTGCCCCACTCCTAAATCCTTATAGTCATCCTGGTGATTAACATCATACAGGTGGAAAAACCTGCATCATCCCTGGGCTTCTCTAACCCATCTGACCTGTCAGTAGTCTGTGAACTGTACCTGCCAGCTAACACCTATGAACTACCTACCATGTGCCAAGCTCTCTGCTGGAGATAAGGGGATGAACCAGTCTCTGTACGCACTGAGAGAACAGTCTAGTGAGGGAGTCATTAAAACAAGAAAACATAGAAATGAATACATAATGACAAATTCTAAGTGCCTTAAAGGATAATAAAGGATACAAGAGAATAAGGGGGCATAATTCAGGCTTGGAGACCAGGAAAGCCCTCCTGAAGGAAGTGCTGTTGATAATGGGAAGACAATAGGAGGGAGGGAGAGGCAGAGCAGTGGAAAGCAGTGCTCTGACGGAAGGAACAGAATGTTTCTTATTCTTTCCCTTCCTCTTCACTCTCACTAGCCCTCTTGCCCCAGAAGGTGGTATGACATAGATTAAGAACCATAGTTCTGGACCCAAATAGCCTGGGTTCTAGTCCCAGCACTGCCACTCATATACTGCCTACAATAGTAAGCATTAAAATGTCTTATTATCTTCTTCAAGGACTGGCTACATAATTTGTGGGGTCTAGTGCAAAGTGCAAATTAAAGTCTCCCTCTTAAAAAATTAAGCATGACACAGATTGCAGCATTACACCAAGCACAGGGAGGGCCCTGAAGGACTGCAGGGGTTATGTGCCTCTGAAGTGAGCCATCTTCTTGGACTACTAAATTGGTCTCTCCAATGGTCTCCCTCCTTCCTCCCATTCCGCAGCATGCCACTTGGTATTTCATAATACACAGGATATTCATAGAGTTGAAACTACATGTGCTGAGGTTTTCACCTGGAATAATAAGCTGATATGGCAGTGTGAACTTTTCTCAGCCATATTTGGTGAGTAACAGCTGTGTCCAACCAGGTTCCATGACTAGATAGGCTTCCAGGAGTCTGTGAAGTCCTTGAAATAATATGCAAAGCTTCATGTGAGCAGATGTGCCTTTTTCTGGGGAGAGAGTTCACAGCTTTCATCAGATTCTCTGAAGAGTCCATTTGCTGCAGAAGAGTAAGACCAGCTCCACAAAGGCCCAGCCCAGATGTAACAGCTCTCTAACACATCCTCTTCTAGGTAGTCTCTGCCAGTTCTCTCTGGGATGCTAATAATGCAATTCAATAATAATAACAATGTTACCATTTATTGAGAGCTTACTCTGAGCCAGGCACTTGACATACAAGATCTCATTTAATCCTTGTAACAGTGGCTTCCGCTGGGGCTGTGACCAGCCCTTGCCAGGCTCTCGGTGTATTACATCATGCCTGTTGCAGGCCTGGCTGACTCGCTCTTAAGTCTGGCCTCAGCAGAACTAGCTTCTGCCCCTGGGTCATTCCACCTAGTCCAAGTCTTGCCCCGATGATGCCATGCACACACTATACCATCTCTCACTTCCATGCTTTGCACATGTTGTTCTGCCTAGAACACATCTCCCATCCAAATTCTCAGCCTGGAGAACTCCTGGAGGAGAGGGGATGGAGGTGCCCCTCCTTTGGGCTTACCTGTGGTCTGTGCTGCCTCCATTACAGCTTTTACTGGGATTTACTATACTTGTCTGATTTTTGTTTCCCCCAATAGACTATGAGCTTTATGAGGACAGTGTATCCTAAATTATCTCTAACCCACAGGCTTGGATCGTGTGGAGTCAGCAAATATGTGTCGAATATGAATGCTCTTCCCAGCCTTGGGCCCCAGTGTACCTTTCTTATTCTTTCCCTTCCTCTTCACTCTCACTTGGCCCCAGTGTACCTGTGCCCTCTTTACTACCTGAAGTCCAGGGTTCTCAGGGGGAAGGCAATCTAATTGTATGAACAGAAACATCTTTGGCAAGAAGTTGTTGGGGGGGTTAGGAAGCTAGGGATGACATCAGGAGGGGCTTGTAGTAGTTGACATGAAGGATGACTAACTTCTCAACTCGGAAAATATTGTGGGGAAAATGAAGCAGGGTTTAGTAATAAAGGACAGAGATGATTCAGAACATACCCATGCTTCCTGAGTGAGAAGGCAGAATCATGGTCAGCCCTAAAGAGAGGCATAGGAGCTGCTGAAGTGATGAGATTTATGGGATGTTAATAAGTTCCTCCCTTGCCCTAAACCTAAAGGCTAGTCACAATGTCTGAATCTTCTCCCTTAGTTCCTCTGTGAGTTAAAACACTGAAACTTCTGAGAAAGTTCATTCAAAGATAGCTGAAATGTTAACCTTTCTTTCTCCTTCTAAGTTGGAGGACTGAATGTGCTCAGGTTCCATACTGTGCCTGTGAACAGCTCACAGAAATCAGGAAGGTACTTTACTTACCTTAACTGGTTTATTCTAATGGATACAGATGAACAGCTAGATGCAGATGTGCACAGGGTGAAGTCTGGAAGGGTCCCAGGCACTTGTCCCTGTGGAGCTGAGGTGTGCCACTCTCCCAGCAGGCTCACCAACCCAGAAGCTGCTCTGGATGTCATTGCTCATGAATGTTCATACACCTCATTCTCCAAGCCCCCACTTCCCGGAGGTCACTGGGAGGGGCTGAAAGTTTCCACTCTCCAATCACTTGGTGAGCAGCCCTATCTTGAGTTTATCTAGGGGTCCCATCCTAAGTCACCTCATTAAAATAAACTTAGATATGATGAAGAGAGGGTCTTAGGAATAACAATAAAGACATTAACAATAACAAAGACAATCCTGTCACTGAGGAAATTTTAAGTTTTAGGAGTTCTGTGCCAAGAACGGGGACAAAGACCAAATATATTTTTGTATACCACAATAGCTAACACCTTGTAAGCATTCTATGCCAGGCACTGTTCTGAGTAATTCCTGTGCATTACCTCATTAAACCTCACAGCAAACCTTTGAGGTAGGTTCTATTATCATCATCCCCTTTTTCTAGATGAGGAAACTGAGGCTCAGAGAGGTTAGACCACATGCCCAGGGTCAAACAAGGAAATGGCAGAATCAGGATTTGAGTCCAGACAGAACTACTTTACCTGTACCACTTCTATTCCATTCCTTATGGCTTTCGAGATTTTCTTTTTTTAGCAGCAGGCCCTTTTCTTCAAAATAAATCATGTATTTCCAAAACAGTGAAAAGTACAACTGCTCTGGCTGTGCCAGGGAAAGAAGACTGGCAACCTGCTCTCTGCCTCTGAAGGCTTCCAAATCAGCACCTCAATCCAACGCCTCCCAGGAACAATGCAGAAAAATCCCTGGCCTAAATGATCTTCAAGGTGCTTTTTTTGAAGAGGGTAGATACAAAGAAAGGGAGAACATGAAGGGCAGAGAGGCTGAGTGAGTTCTGTGAAGTCACACAGCACATTAACTGCTTATTGCTTTAAACCCAGCAGCTTTACTCCTTCGCCTTTCCTCTCTGTCCTCTGATGGCATCTGAGTTTGTAGCTTTTGTGCCTGTGGGAGAGGCAGAACGTGTAAACATAGTTACTAGTGACACACAGAATGGCATAGTGTCTATGATGTACAGATACAAAATAGCAGAAAGAGTGGTAAACTATGGTTGGATTGGGAGCTGTGGAAAACTTCAGAGAAAAGATGATGCTGACTGAAATACAGTTTCCCAGACAGAGGAAGAGCAGACACGGAAGTGTCTAAGAGCAAGGTGTATTTCAGGAGCCAAGGCCCCTTTTTTCTTTAATTCCTGCATATACTTTTTACTTCCTACTGCCTCCTTACCCCTCCACCTCTCTGCAGCCAACCTCCTTCAAGATCTCAGTTGAGAGCAAATCTTAAAAGGGAAAAAAAGCTTGGATAAGAAGGAATGGTTGCAAAAAGAAGGAAGAGGATAGAAGAGGGTGTATATGAATGGGCAGGGTCCAGATCAGGGAACCCTACACAGCTATTAAGGCAGGTATAAAGTTTACTCTCCTTGTCTGGGGCTGTGGGGTCCAGAATCCCTAGCACAGAATCTGCTGACAGCCAAGATAAATGTCTCTTTCCATTAGCCCTCAGTGGCTGCACACGCTTTCAGTTAAAGACTGCCCTAAGGCCGGTGGAGCTGGGAACCTTGAAAGATGGAAAGAGGCCCTCTTCAACTGGCCCCAAAGTTTGCCAGGCCTTCATTATGCTGCACTGGGCTTGTCCAAGGGCCACCTGGGGATAGGAAGACAATGGGATTAGCTCAGGTCTCTCCCCTCTAGTGGATCCCGA